CGCTCACATGCTTCGTTGCTCTGTTATATTACATACTTGTATGTGTTTGACATGACTATAATGTTGTATTCTCCTCTACCGTAGAAATATAATAAAGATGTGTATGGCGACGGCGCTGCAGCTCTCTCTCAATAAAAGACCTGCCATCGGACATGGATTCTGAGTAACCTGATTGGATCCCTAGTGGGAATCTACATCCAATCCCCTCGAGGCATGTCGCAGGGTCGTATTTGATTGGTTGGGGATTGTTTTTAGTGTCTTGTAAGAACTGTTTATGTTAGCTCTGCCGAGGCAGAGCCTTTTTACTTAGCTGCTTCCACGGCGTTGTTCTATACAGTCCCCAAGGCGTTAACGCCATGTCAAGAGACCGTTCTCGAGAGGGAACGTCTCTGGTTACTGTCGTAACCTCGGTTCCCTGAGAGACGGGAACGAGACATGGCATTGGCCGCCGTGTCCACTGCTCAGGTCTGCTGTGCTGTTGGTTCAGTCGGAAGATTCTGAGCTTATGCCGCCAATACGGCGCATAATATAGTGGCGGGGGCCCCGCCCCTACTCGCTGTCTTGGCTGGCATTGGCCAGTGAGAGTTGCAACTTCACTGGCGTTGTGCAATAAAATTTCAGGTAGGTTAGGAAGGAAGGGAGTCCCCAAGGCGTTAACGCCATGTCTCGTTCCCGTCTCTCAGGAAACCGAGGTTACAACAGTAACCGGAGACGTTCTTTTGAACTTTGTATTCACTAAAGAAAACTGTTTTCAACACTGAAAATGATAAAAATAAATGTTTCTTGGGCAGCAAATCATCATATTAGACTGATTTTTGAAGGATCATGTGACACTGATAATGCTGAAAATTTAGTTTCGCATCACATAAATAAATTATATATTTTTTAAAACAGGTTTTACTGTATTTTAATTTTTTTTTACAAAATAAATGCAGCCTTAGTCAGCATAAGATGTTTCAAAAATGTTTCAAAAACCAACCAACCACATAAGTTTTGAACAGTGGTGTAGGTTGTGATTGTATAATATATAATAATAATTAAATCAGTTTCAGCAAATGCGATTGATCAACTCTGTCAAAATATGTCTGTGTTTGTCTCTTGTCTTTGTTCACTTTGCTCTTTGATACATACTCATGTACCCATTTTAATTATTTATTATTTTTATATTATTATTTTTAATTATTTTAACTATTCCTGGGTAATTTATAGTCTGGTTTTACCCTATTTTTACCTTTTATCAGACAAAACGGCTTGTATGATGTTGTTGTAGCCTCAGGAAAACGTCTCCTTTTGTTTGCAAATCCATTCCTTTTCCAACAGCAAAGCTATGCAGTCTTGCCAGTTACCTATTATCACCCATCAGTCAATACAAATATAATCTGGCTGTTTGTGTCGGAGTGTAAAGTGAGATTGAATGTGTGTATTCAATGAGTTTCACCTAAATACATTTATTTAAAAGAGGTTTTGTGGTGGTTAGCTTAACACTTCATCTGCGTTGCATTTCTCCCTCCTAAAGGATCATCTGACGGAGTCCCTGCTGGGTGAGAGAGCTTTGCGTTCTGCTGTCGTATTTTCCTGTAGTGCTAAGCTGATGAATCTGTCTTGGTGTTGTGGTAGCGCAACAGGGGTCCCAAAGGCCTTCTGTCACTCTTAGTGACTGTGTATTTGTCCATGATTCCCTTCGTTTTCCTCTCAGACCTCCTGAGATGAGTAACTTCAGGTGTATTGCACTGATCCTAGTTTGAACTCTTGAGATAAATAGGTATAAAGGTACATACACCTGTGTGTTAAAGCTTCTGCCGTGCTTAAACACACATGCACATATGCAATCTATATGGAGAGGTAAATATGAATCTATGTGTATGTGTGTATATGTGTGCTGTTTATATGCTGCTGTGTGAATGTGTACATATGGTTGGCAGTGATTAATAGAGTCACTTATATGTTAATAATGTTTATATTTTAATGATATTCTGCATATACAGAATTCTGTATGAACACTTCTTCTTGTTATGTAATTAAAGGGATAGTTCACCCAAAAATGAAAATTCTGTCATTAATTACTCACCCTCAAGTCGTTCCAAAACCGTAAGACCTCCGTTCATCTTCGGAACACAAATTAAGACATTTTTGATGAATTTTGAGAGCTCTTTGACCCTCCCATAGACAGCAAGGGTACTACCATGGTCAAGGTCCAGAAACGTAGTAGGGACATCAGTAAAATAGTCCATGTGACATCAGGGGTTCAACCGTAATTTTACGAAGCTACGAGAATACTTTTTGTGCGCAAAGAAAACAAAAATAAAGACTTTGTTCAACAATTCTTCTCCTCCTCATCCAGTCTGCAGTGGCTTGCCTCCATTATGGAGGGTATCACGATGCATGCGCGCACTTCCGCTTCATGTAAACAACTCATGCGCGTGCTGACGTAAGCAGCAGCGCAATGCGCATGCGTTGTTTACATGAAGCGGAAGTGCGTGCATGCGTCATGATACTCTCCATAATGGAGGCAAGCCAAAAATATCTTAAATTGTGTTCTGAAGATGAACGAAGGTCTTACGGGTTTGGAACGACTTGAGGGTGAGTAATTAATGACAGAATTTTCATTTTTGGGTGAACTATCCCTTTAATAACTGTGTTTCTTTCACATTTCAAGGTTTAGTTTTGTGAGTTAGACACAAAATAGTTGCAAGGTTATGTTCGGAATGGAATACTAGCGTACTACATATTATGCAGTATATACTTTCTTTTTTAGATTTAAACGGCATATTTTTGTGATACAGCACAATAAACAATGACCAGTAGTATGTTACATTGCTGTCACGTGACTTCATGACATCATGTCAGAAAAAAAATTTTTACTTTGTGTTTTCAAATCAATGTTATGTATAAAAAAAGTTTGAAGACCAATCAAATAATGAGCAAATGGATAGAAAATTTGCTACATTACTACTTCACAATAGATTTGCCATGTGACGATGTTGCAATTTCAATGTCGGAATTTTTATACCACGTTTAAACCCAGTATAACGGTAATTGCGCAATAGGACTATTTTTGTTTCACAAAAACGCAAACCTGATTTAAAACGTACATTTTACTTATATATGAATATATGTATATATGTATGTATTTATTTTAGTGCTGTCAAACGATTAATCATGATTAATCGCATCCAAAATAAAAGCTTTTGTTTGCATAATATATGTGTGTGTTCTGTGTATATTTATAATGTATGCGATTAATCGCGATTAATCGTTTGACAGCACTAATCTATTTATTGCTAAATAATTACACTTAAAATAAATAACGTGCAATCAGGTTAAATGGTGTGTTGTTCACCAAAACCTCAACCATTTCAAGTGTTCGGTCATTCTGATAATAGTCTTTGATACATAACATTTGTCTACATCTCATTTATATTTATTTATGTCTTTTTTTATTTACTAATTTACCTGCTTGCTTGTTTATTTTATCTAAAAAAATGTAACTTAAAATGTAATCTCAAGCATTTCAAGTGTTCGATCATTCAGAGAGTGGTCTTGATAATACATTATTTCATGTACATCTTACATTTTATAATTTATCTGCATCTTACATTAATTTATTTATTTGCTCAACCATTTCAAGTGTTCAGTCATTCTGATAAGGGTCTTCGCTTCTGAGTGCAACTAGATTGATTCCTTTGGTGTTCGGTTTACTCTATTAATATTTTACACACTTAAGATGTATGTTGTGTAACCGAATCATGATCTGCTGACTTTTGTGCTGCCCCAATTGTTCCTGTCAAATGAAAGGTGTTGTATTCTGTCAGCACTCATGCTGTGTTGCCTGTGTAATTTTGATACTGTCTGTAGAAACATTTGGCTTTTTAATACATTAATTTAATTCATCATTAGTCACAAAGTCATCGTTATAGGCGACTAGTATCAAATTTCATGTCTGTATCTTCTAGTATACTGTGACAAGCCCACTGCACACTAAACAAAATACTATAGTAAAAGTATTATGCTAGTATGCTATTCTGAATATGGCCACTAGACTGTAGCAATTAATCATTTGCCAACCCAGTGAAATTCATGTTGTCCATGTGTTTGTCTGTAACGTCATTGTGTGTACTCTCAAAGCCTTATGGGTAAGTGTGCCTCTGGGTTTTACTATATGCTCATACTGTATATGTTTTGTGACACTGTGACGGGCTAGACACAGACACTAATGAGCAGCATTGTTGTGTTTTAAACAAACAACAATATGCAGACTTCATCAGAATCATTCAGATATTTTGCCCATGGCGTCATCCAGTTTTCACAATGTTACAGTATACAGTATATTCCATGTGCAGAATATTTATTCTGGATCTGCTGATTATTTCTAAGGCTGTTTTCACACTCGGTTTGATTGGTTGGTCTGAACTTGAGTTCATTTCGTACAACATTTCAACATTGCATTATTTGGCTCCAAACTGTGATACGTTTGCATCACCAGCAGCAGATGTCAGCCGCTGGTGCTATAACAGCTCAGAAGGAGAAGGGGCTAAAATGGAAAGCAATATTCACCTCATTTGTTGTACTGTAGTCATATTTTAGTCCCTTTGATTTTCACTAGCAGATTTTAACGTCATCTGCATCTTGTCATAGCAAGAGAAGCAAAGAATGTAAGATATTTGCCAGAGGCAATTTCTGCAGGCAAACATGAATGACTGATGCATTGTAAATCAGGCCACTTTTTTCATATTGAGAGAATTGTCAAAAAGTGAAAATCTGTCTGAATTCACTCTACTATCAATAGCAGTTCACTTCATAAAATGTACATCAGATTCCCATTTTCAAGTAGAATCATGCACGAGTTTGAAAACAGATTTCACACCCAACAAACCAAACTTGTCAAATGGACTCTGGTTCAAACCACATGCTCTAGTATGAAAAAGCCCTTGCTATGATTTTTATTCCATTGTGAGCCCATCCACAGGACGCTAATTCACATGTGAAATGATGTTTTTCAGGTGGTTCATGAAGCTTATACTAGATTCTCAGAGGAGCCCACTGTACAGTCCACATGGGAGAACAACACCGAGAGCACAGATGTTGAGATCAAAGTAGGAAATTTTGTTTTTCCTTTGAAGTTGGTTTGCCGTCAACATGATTTTAAAGGGATAGTTCACCCTAAAATGAAAATTCGCTCATTGTCATTGTATCATTGCAAATCAAGGTTATTAAAAAAAACTATTAAAAACATTTTGTTAATTGAAAAAGCTAAAATGAAAATATATATATAAATATTAAAATAAGAACTTAAATGAAAATTGAATGAAAATGAGAAATATTGCCTTGAAATAAATTAAAGTTGAATGAAAAAATTACTGACTGGAAAATAAAAACTAAAACTGAAATAAATCAAATTAAACCTAAATAGTAATATTTAATAAGAAGTAATTAAAATCACAAAAGCACATAAAATTACTTTTTTAAACTAAAACTAATATAATAACTGAATATATACAAATAAAAGATGATTCAAAACATTAATAAAAACTGTAATAGTCTATAAATAATACTAAAATAACAAACCTGTATGCTGTTATTTTAATCACAATATTTGAAATATTTAAATATTTGTTAAAAATGTAAGAATTGCTATGCCGCTTGTGCAACAGCTGGTCATAGTTCAGACCAAAAAATTAAAAAAATTAATTAAATAATAATAAAAAAACAGCAACGTAAAGATAAGCAAATTAAATCATGAAGAAAATTTTCATTTTGAGTGATCGGTTTTTGTTTGGATTTTTATTTAGCATTTAGTATTTGAATAGTCGTCTTACAATTCTTGGTTTTTATTTAACTCTTAGGGTCTTGAGGTATCAAAACCAGGTCAGTACCAGGCCCTCCAATCTGAGAAGAACTTCTTGGAGATGAACGACTCAGGCGTGGAGTTCAACTCGTCTGCGCTCCCTCTTGACAGTGACACAGACGTACCCGACAATCTCACCTCTCAGAAGCTCCTGCTCGAGTCCGACACTCTCGCTGGTGTCCCGCCGGCCATTTCTGAGGGCGACCACAGTGCCACTCGCACCCCTGATTCCATTCTGAGCACCAGCCCCGTCGTCCAGCCCAAATCTGAGGCTCAGATAGATGGCGACTTAATCGGCGCGACCACGCCTGAGGAAACGACCAAAGCGAATGATTTAGATGCGAAGACGAGCAAAGATGCTTCACCGCATTCTGAGAAAGCTCTGGATCCAAGTAATGGAACCACAACCTGAGCACTTTAAAGCTAATTGAGTCACACTAACCAGTGTGGCCACTTTTCGTTCACTACATCTCACCGTTTGACGTCTAAAATGACACTTCATCTTGCTTGGATTGATCTGTTGCATAACAAATGGTTTGCCGATCAAGCAAAAATCCTGATCCGAGAAGAAAAAAAAGAACAAATCCAAGAGAAGACAACAATTCTCTAAAAAAAAAAAATTTTGAAGAACCGAATCAGTCCTGCACTATGCATGCCTTTGAATTACTGAGGACTGGTTTAAAGCCAAGTGCTAGATTAGAGTGACCATGTAGTGCATGTGAAAACGAAAACACGCGTGTAAGACTTAATACTTTTTAAATTTTACTAAGCAATGCAACTATAACTAGAACTTTCACGAGAGAGTCAAACTGCCTGAAACTCCAAGGAAGCTTCAAGCAACACCTGAAGCAGATTGCATTGGATCTTACATCTACAAAATGCCAAATTTTGAGAATTTCTTCATTTGTCGAATCAAAGTTGGATTCATTCCAAGATCAAACATGCTTTCCCAGCGCTTCACCTGGTGTGAATGCTTCCTTTTGACCGTCTGCAGTCACCACTGGCTTTGAAGTGCTTTACTGAGAATCCTTGCCAATGGTAAACTAAACACCTTGATGAATCAGGTCCGCATGGATGACAGGTATCCGACACGGTGGCTTACCACTGTAAATAGGATCAGCTGTGGTGGAGGGTTTTGGCCCTGGTTCAGAGGAACTCCTCTGCTGGGGTGTCTCCACAACTTGGGCCTTTCCGATGATCTCTTTTCTAGCTTTGAATATATTTTATAGCAGGTTTTAGCTTGCAGAAATGCACTCATTGCGAATATCATTGACATTTATTCATGAGGAATGATTAGCAACTAAGCGGGGTCTAGGGGGTGCTGAGTTCAGGGAAATTCCATATCCATGTCCATAATATCTAATATGGTTTCATTATGTAGATTTGAATCATTTGTGTTTGACTCACTTCTGCCAGCACAGTTGAGTTGGCATAAAACATCCATATTTCCAGCTGTAACATGGCTATTGTGCTTCTGCAATTTTACTAAAAGCATTGCGAATTTTTTAAGATTTAATAATTCCAAATATCTTTTTCATACCATACACTCTTAAAAATAAAGTTTTTTTTGCTAGCATTGATGTTCCATGAGGAATCCTTAAAGGAGTCCTATTATGCTCTTTTACAAAGTCTTGATTTTGTTTTGGGGGTGTACTAGAACAGGCTCTCATACTAGGTTGTTCGAAAAACACATTATTTTTCACATATTTTATATTATTACAACACCTCTCTCCCCAGTCTGGCATGAACGGCTCGAAT